CATAACTCAACAAGTGCTTGAGAAACTGCAGTAAACAAAAAGTATAAAGATGGTTTATCTTGTTAAATCAGCCTTTTCCTCACAAATTAAGATGAAGTCAGTTTTTGTCGTGATGATGATGATGATGTGATCATCAAAATAATATTTCCGTTGATTAATTTTATTTTCGAAGAACTTAATCAAATCCATTTTAAACATATAATTTTCTATCAAATCACTGGATTATTCTTCAGAAATGCTTAAGAAACTCTTTGATGTTGTTTTTCTTTGTTTTGTCCGTAAAATCTTTAATCTGGAAATTAACTGGCTCAGTGACTAAAAACTGCAATATTTTCCACTAAAATAGGAAATTGAGTGGATTCAAACAGTAAAGTCCAAATTGTACATGAACAATACTTTAAAACACACATATTAAGAGTAAAAGGTGTTGTGTTGTTGCAGCTTGTGAGCTAATTTTACATACACTCTAAAAAGATACTTGGTTAGATTTTACCGGATTTGATTCAGTACAACATGGGCATAATACAGGATAAACAAAATCAATTAAAAACATAATTGTGTTGTTAGTTGTACAAAACAATGTGTAAATAACATTCAAAAGAAACACATTATTAGCAGTTAAAGGTCAAATTATTGTTGTCACAATTTCATATTTTATTATAACTGGACATATTTGTCTGAGGTAATGTTTTATTGCGTCACATATTTAGACCCAAGTGATTTTTAAAGTGTATGTTTGAACTCTTGAGTATTTTATCATATAACAACCATATGTGAGAAGCTGTTTAAATGTTCTCTACTTAAAATCAGAATAATCTAAGTAACTGCAGCTGCTCAAGCAACACAATAAAGGAAGTAGCAGTCAAAAAAAATACTCGAGCAAAGAACAAGTATCTCAAAGTTGTACACAAGTACAGTAGTGTCCTTTCACTGTGGTTTAATGTGTTTCTAAATTATACCCTGGCTTTCTTAGACCACAGCATTTAAACCTCTGATATAAATTAATGTTTTTAATGGCAGTCTGCACTCCGAGGTGTTAGCTCTGGGCTAACGTGAGTTCAGCTCCACACCCAAAAAGATGTGTTCATCATCGCTGGGGCATTTTACTCAGCCGTTGTAAGCACAGGAGTGGTTGTCGATGCTCTGTTTCCTTCTGAGGTATGTTTGTTCCATCAAACGCTGATTTATGAGATTGGCTGGATGCTCTTTCCTCAAATGAGCTCTGAATCATCGGCATGAGAGATGACTTCCTCCTGAGACTAGCAAAATATTATTACATGGTACAAACCTTCAATTTGATCGGAGGCCAAAGTGTTTCCAGCCGCCCCGTCATTTTAATCCACTTCACTGAAATAACCCGTATCAGGTCTTTTATTTATGGG